TGTGCATGTGTGCATGTGTGCATGTGTGCATGTATGCATGTATGTATGTATGTATGTATGTATGTAATGTATGTATGTATGTATGTATGTAATGTATGTATGTATGTATGAATGTAATGTAATGTAATGTAATGTAATGTAATGTAATGTAATGTAATGTAATGTATGTATGTATGTATGTATGTATGTATGTATGTGTATATATATATAAGTATATACACACAGATGAACTATTAATACAAGCATAATTTACCTAGTTGAAAGATGTTGAAGGTGCGCACATTGCTTGGGCATTTAATTGGACATCTCATGAAGAGCTCCTCAGCATCTAATGTTCGCAACCTGATGAATTTTCAGCATCTAATGGGACTGGCTAGAAGCTGTTCCACAAAAAATCATCTACAAATGGGTGATATTCCAGCCACATTTGATTTTTGGGCAAACATCGCTGTCACAAAGTGGGGAGCAACAGCCTGAGCAGAGTTCCGAATCCATAGGATCATCAGATCCAGAGACAGCCACCAAAACAGTTCACTTTCAGTCAACTTGTCTTTGTGAGGTCATCGAAAATGGCGAAAATCACCCGTTTCTATCATTTGATGTCCCAAAAAACAGACCTTAGCTTCATTAACGATGGAGATTGCCCCCCCATGTTTGAATGTCTGATTTCCCGCACCAAGAGGGGTGACATCGCCTGTAGAGGCCTGTTGAGAACTGCCATGACGTTGCTTCAGACAGCCACAGGTTGCTAGGCCAAGACTTTTTTTTCCGCCAGTCCAAACCTGCCAATTTGGGTACCCGAAGTCATTGCTGGATGTTTATCCCCCTGGTAATCATAGGTTTTGACACATTCCCATGTAAGAAAATTCAATGATGTGCACCTGCGACCGCGAATGACTGTCTTGGCAGGAATCTTTGTTCCCTTAGGCAGTTTCAATCCCCGCAATTTTTGGAATGATCTTGTCAGAATCTTGTCCACCAATGGACAGAGAACCGTCTCCCACTTGGGACCGACCAAGACTTTCCAGTGCCGCGCCGGGACCGACCTAGGTGGCTTGAGCTGGATAGAAGTAGAATCAGCCGCTGGGCCACTGGGGGGATGGATGGGATGGGAGTCTGTGTCATGACCAACATTTCGAGTCCGAAATCTACCCTCTGGTAAACTAACGTAACTATGGAAAATCACCATTTTTAATGGGAAAACTCACTATAAATGGCAATTTTCAATAGCTATGTTAGTCATTACCAGAGGGTAAGCAACTGATGGAAGCCCATCCCCAGATGGCAATGCGAGATTACCATCCCCAGATGGATCATGTTTTCGCATGCGAGGGCGAGGTACCATAAGATATGCTTCAAGCATCGAATGAACTCCGACAGATCGCGACAAGTCTTGTTGGGAACCTACTTTTGGTACCAATTGGCCACATGACAAAAGGATTTCACCCACTTCCCAATTCCAGTTGCTTCCGAAAAAAAACAGAATTTGTCAACTGCTGTCTAGAGGTTACGAGGGAGAGCCGGGCGGTTGGCTTTGGAACCTGAGTGACAACGCACCCGAATTTACTCATCACACTGTCTGATTGGCCAAGTAGTCGTGCCAATCGCGTCACCAACTTGGGAACTTGGACAAGTCTTCCGAGGCGTTCACAAGTGGTTGGTTACGATGAGTCAATTGATGTTAATTGGGTGGCCCAAAAATACCCCAAGAATGGGAGGTTTGGCCAGGGAGCTCCGTAAAGTGAGGCGCTCTCAAACATTTCCACGTTGTTGGTGGTGACCTTCTTGTGACTTCGCTGCATTTTTGTGGCTTTGAGGGGACTGGGGATCAGACAACTGCGTGGTGGTTTGTTTTTTCCTTCCATACCTGCCATGATGCACCCAATGATATATATATATAATTATATATTGGGTGGTTGAAACCACCAACATCATGGAGGCGCTGTATTCTCCCGTACAATGCTCTCCCTACCCCGCGAAACATTGCAACTGCCATGATCTTGAGAACTGATCGAAAGTCACTTTGCGAGTCATTGCATACCCAGTATCTGCACTGTAAACTCATTGTGCGGTTTTTGTACTGGTAGGGTGGCTCTTGAAGTACCTACACATGCGCATTGTGTGTAACTTCTGTAGAGAAGGAAAACTTCTATGTCTATGTCATGTGCATCACACATATATCACAGTATATATAATATATAATATAATATAACATAATATAATATAATATAAAATAATATAATATAATACAATACAATATAATATAATATAATATAATATAATATAATATATATAATATAATATAATATAATATAATACAATACAATATAATACAATATAATATAGTATAATATAATATATAATAATATAATACAATATAATATAGTATAATATAATATATAATAATATAATACAATATAATATAATATAATATAATATAATATATATAATATAATATAATATAATACAATACAATATAATACAATATAATATAGTATAATATAATATATAATAATATAATACAATATAATATATAATATATAATATAATAATAATATAATATAATATAATATAATACAATATAATATAATATAATATAATATGATATGATATGATATAACATGATATGATATAATACCATTTGATATATATCATATAACGTATATACGTATATACATATCTATATATAAAATCACACACACACACATAGCAGGGGGTGCTGGGGGCACTGATAAGACCGGCACTAAATTCAGATAAGACCAGCACTAACAAAGCATTCATCCGTCGCCTGTGATATCGCTGGGACGCTGTCGTGGCATGGGGCCAAGTGGAGAACGGATTTTGGATGACGACGTTTGTGAAAGGGATAGATGGATAGATAGGTAGATAGATAGATAGATAGATAGGTAGATTGGTAGATAGATAGGTAGGTAGATACATAGATACATAGATACATAGATATATAGATATATAGATATATAGATACAGACATACATAGATACATAGATACATAGATACATAGATACCTAGATACATAGATACATAGATACATAGATACATAGATACGTAGATAGATACATAGATACATAGATACATAGATACATAGATACATAGATACAAACATAGATACATAGATAGATACATAGATACATAGATACATAGATACATAGATACATAGATACGTAGATAGATACATAGATACAAACATAGATACAAACATAGATACATACATGGTACCGATGGAGAACAGAATTTGGGTTCTTCTTGGATTTCCGATGCGGTCCGGATTTAGTACCCCCTGGATTTTGTCTTCCTCAGCAAACATCGGAAGACGACCGGGAGGATACAGCGCAGAAGCTCCAGCTGGCAATATTTTGGTCTAGTGCGTGTTGAACAACTTATCAAATGTAATTCGTAAGAGTTTATACACACATACATATGTGCAGAGCAACATGTACATACATAGATGTACATAAGCACTTAGATTAAAAGCTCTAGGTATACGCAGATATGCATTCAAACGTTCATGTTTGCAACCATCTTCACACTGTGTGCAAACAAATCTGTCTCTTGAGATAGATGTATAGATAAATGTTGTATACATTTGTTCGAACATAGCACATGCTTGCAATCCCATGTCTCTCTCTCTATTGTTGATACACATGCGTTTTGATCCATGTGTGTGTAAACACATATCACATGTGCATATTCTTGCCTGCATTTGTTTGATACATACATACACACTAACATGCATGTCAACATGCGTACATACCTGATCAAAATGGTGCTGATTCAACTGGAGCCACCTAATTTCTGCTGAGGTTGTACTTTAGCTTTATTTATTTTGCCGTGCTCAATGTTGTGACAGGCCAGATTTTCGATGTCACATTTTTCCGCAGAAAACGTTTTCCATCCAATTGTGACAGGTTATGAAAATTGGGCCGTGCTTACCAAATTTATGTGGTGGGGGATGTTTCACAAGTGGGGTTTCTTGGTGGTTCGTGGTCGTGTTCGTGGCGCAGGCGTCTTCTGCAGCACCGCCATCGAAAATGCCAGCCAGGACCTGTGGGACAATCATCATTTTTTTTTTCGTATCATTATGATTACCATCTGGTTATTTAACATAGCCATGGAAAATCACCAGTTTCAATAGGTAAACGTCTATAAATGGGCCATTTTCCATGGCTATGTTAAATAACCAGAGGGTCATATTTGTCACGCTATTAATCATCTTGTGGCTGTGTTAACATATTTTGTCACGATATTAACATCACAAAATCATCTTGTCACGTATTTGTTAAATTGAGTGTTTTTTGTGACACAGGTATTTTTTTGCAAAATACTACTATTTGTAGATAATTTCAATTTTCGATCGTATCATGATTAACATATGATTTTTCATTGTGGCTTTCTGCTGGAGTATCCAACAGCACTATACAATTTTAAATGAACATATTGTTTTTTGATAAACTATTGTCGCTATCACGATTCTTGTTTGCGTTGGTATGTTCTTCTTCTTATTGCCAAAAATTCTTGGCCGGGTGCATCGGAATCTATCCATTGTAAATTTGCACGCCAAAGGATGAACAACATTTGCATATGTGCGGTTGTCAACATTTGGGTTACAGATCCATATTTCGGCAGTGTTGTAATGACCAATATAGGGATTCCGTGACAATGGGAATACTCCAAAGTTTTCATTTTCATCTTTCTGATTACCATGGACATTTTGGTGGTGTATCCGCTGTTCGGATTAACTCAGATGGCCACATTGGGAACGTTGATCATGTCTTCTGCTCCAGGATGCTGAGGCTCAGATCGATGAGCATGTGCGCAAGAGCAAGGCGACTTTGGTGGGAGCTGCGGGTCTGGTCGGGAACCTACATGAAGATTGAACAGCAGGTGAAAGTAGTGGTAAGTAAGTAGCGTTTGAAAAGATGCATGGTTTTCAGGCAAGTAAGATATTTATTTAGTTTTGTAAAGCAAAGCAAAGATGGATAGATAGAAAAACAGGCAGGCAGGCAGATACATAGATAGACAGGCCGATAAATAGATAGACAGATAAGTCAACAAGTATGTGACTAGAAAAAATAGATTTGCAATTGCGCATGAACATTCAAACAGGATTGGATCAGGACGAGATAGATGAATGTATAGATAGATGAGATGAAAGCCGATGAGTTGAGATGACTCTATGTGACATTGTAGAACCAAGCTGCATTCGATGACATTCGAGGAGATTAGATAGATTGATAGGTGGATAGGCGCGATTAGAACTGAATGACTCGGGTTAGATTCAAATCAGATAGATTGGTAGGTAGGGTAGGTAGGGTAGGTAGGGTAGGTAGGGTAGGTAGGGTAGGTAGGGTAGGTAGGGTAGGTAGGGTAGGTAGGGTAGGCAGGGTAGGTAGGGGGGGCAGGCAAGGGTAGGTAGGGTAGGTAAGGGTAGGGTAGGGTAGGGTGGGTGGGTGGGGGTGGGGGGGGTGGTGGGGGGTAGGGTAGGGTAGGTGGGTAGGTGGGTAGGTGGGTAGGGTAGGGTAGGGCAGGGCAGGGCAGGGCAGGGCAGGGTAGGGTAGGGTAAGGTAGGTAGATAAGATAGGTAGGTAAGACAAACTATGATAAGACAAGACAAGACAAGACAAGATAAGATAAGATAAGATAAGAGAAGAGAAGAGAAGATAAGACTAGATAGGTAGGTAGGTATATAGATAGACAGACAGACAGATAGATGGGTAGATAGATAGATACATAAAGAAAAGCAAACCGGCCAAGATGAGAAAACATGTAGGTATACATATGCAAACAACCATCACACATAGCTATGATAAAATCGATGGTGATCAATTGTGATGGAGGCTCTTGCGTTTTTTTCCTGTAACATAAGCAGCGAAGTCGGACCATGGGGATGCCGAATCTGACATGCATCGTAAATCATCGTGGTTTAATGAGCGCATGTGTGAGCTGTTTGCAAACATCAATAAACATGATTGTTGATCTGTAATGAATTGACTTTGTATAGATGTTGACATGAAAGTGTTGGTGTCGTGGAGGTTAGGTTCCGGTAGGGTGTGTACACAAGCGGAGCAACTTGCACAAACTGGTCGGCTCCTTTTCTACCACGTTGACTTTGTCCAATGTCAGACAAAGTGTGCTGCAACTATGCTGATGTGAATTTGCGAAGCTTTGCTTGCACACAAACACACACACACATATATATATATATACACACCGACCATGTTAACATATATATAATATACACGATATATATATATAGCATATATATAATACCCATATCTAAACAACTCAAATATTGGTTGATGCAGTATAGCGCTGTCTGGTCCAGTTGGTCGGCTTGGCCGTTTGGGGGCTGGGACCACTTGGATTTGTCCAGGACTACAGCGATCGACTGGTCAAAGTGTATTTTGACAGCATCGATCGACTGGATGCTGCAAGGTTTCGAACGAAAAACCGTACATATCAACAGAAACAAATTTGGAGACTTCCTTTGCCATTAGAAGTGCGCACATACCCACACAATCGGTGTCACTGGAAGGTTCCCTTTGGTAAATTGGGTATCTACACTTGCTTGTTGGGTTTATCCACAGATACGACTCATACGGCTGAGGAAACGCTTGAGTTGTGGCTAAATGAACTTACAACATGATGCAGTTCAGATGGTGCAGTTTGTTTATTGTTGTTAAAGGACTCAGAAACTGCGTGCCCAGCCTATGTGTCCAGGCGGGTATATGTCTTGGGACCTCCCAACCAAAGGGTTTTTCTGTCTCTCATTTATCAAAAAACTTGAGATATGATTCTTTTCTCTAATACCAATGTAATTTTGATTGACTTCTACACCTTGAGAGTAAAAATCTGGAAGTCATTGTCTTCCATTGATCGAAGCCTTGTTTCCTTGCGCGGCTAGGATCTGTTTCGAAACTGGTTTGGAGATTCCTCATTATTTCTGGATCTCTAATTCCATTTTCTTGGGGGAATTGGTCACCCTAGAATCCTTGATAACGTCAACCCCGCATGAAGGAAACCTGACAATTGGGGGTGTGAACCTGTGAAGCCCAAGGTAGTGAAATCAATTGCTTGTAAAATTGGTAGCTCCTAAGAAGCCATCAGAAAGCCTGGAGGTTCAGCCGGCCCAAGGTTCGAAAAGATGGACACGGACAATACTGGCACCATTAGCGCCGTGGCTGCATCACGCCTGACTGTTTTTGCGGCAAATTCTCGATGTTCTAAACTCATGTGAATTTAGTTATAGGATGCTATAGGTTCAATATGATTTGGACTTTGGACCTTAATTTTCTCGTAGATGTTTCTAATTCATGGTTGTGCAAATCATTCGCGAAGATCATGTTTAACATGTTTTCTGGACGCTGGACACACGGACGCATTCCATTTTTATGGCCATGTTGATCCAATTTTTTTGGGTAGTTGCTATTCCAGCAGATCCCATACTTTGCAGCCAACAGGGTTCACCAGCATGGGATGGCTAAGGCATCCTGGAATTTGAAGAGATGTGGGAAGATCCGGCCCTTCAGGTGCTTCTCGTTCCCAGGATTTTTATTAGCCACAAGCATCTGGAGGATTTTTCCAGGCTGTTTTCCAAGCTGAACAAGCCATAGGGATTTCCCAGCAATGGTAAACAATTGACATTTCGGAAGTTTCGGGCTGGGCTTCACCATAGATCGGGCATTCCCTTTAACTCTTCAACTGCATTTAGATGGTGATTTGAGTTGCAGGCATGACATAGGCATGACTTCCTGGAAACTGCATTTAGATGGGGGAAAGCAGATTTTCAGCACACAGGCGTGACTTAGGCATGAGTTTCGTGCTTTCCTGTAGCTATTGAACACCCCGATTTTGAAGTTAGGTAATTCCTCGAAGTAAATGGGCCATGGCTTCCATAGCTATGATCACCATAGGCACCGGGCCATCACCACAGGGCCATGGATGGCCAATCTTCACAGAATTTCTGGCCACTATCACCCGGGATTTTGGATTGCATGAATATGCATATCTCATGTGTGTATGTATAATTGCTGTGTAAGTATGTTTGTATGTAATGTGATGTGATGTGATGTGATGTGACGCTATGCCATGCCATATTATGTATTGTTATGTTACGTTATGTTTTGTTATGATATGTTATGGCATGGCATGGCACGGAACGGAACGGAATTTGTCCAATACATGGGAAACACATATTTAACTACGTATGTATTGGATAGTATGTATTGGTATTAACTACCCAAGCATTGAACAATTATCCAACAATCCATACATGGGAAAACTTGACAAATATTGGATATTCCCACTGAATCTAAGCAGCCTATTGGTATCCCCTCATTAACAACCCAAAGACATATCCAATACATCAGGAATGATGAGGAAAAAAAGGCGCTTCTAGTCCATTGGCATGGGGGTTACCCCATTGTCAAACCCACCTGGGTCCTCGGTATCACCATTCACATGTCAGAGCAGCGACTTAGCGGGGCAAAAAACCACGTCTGCCGTTTTTGGGTTTAAAGTATTTATATACATACAGTACATATTACATATTTTACTATATATAATAAATAATATTTAATGATATATAATAGATAATATATACTATATAATATATAATATGTAACATATTATATATATATATCCTATATGATATAATATATGATATATGATATGTAATATATAATATATATAATAATATTATGTATATATATATGATATTGTATACTATGTATTATGTATTATATATTATATTATCAGGGTGAAGAGACTACTGTAACGGTCAAGAACTCTAATAATCCCATCCCCCTAATAGTAAACACCCCCCTTCTATGCTCCCAATTATGTGGGAATTCCCTACTAAACGATGGTGGCCCTGGGGGGTGTTTAATTTTACGGGGAAGGGATTAGTTGGCAATTCTTCCTCAATGAAATCATTTGAAATCATGAATGAAGTTGTCAATTGTTGAATCATTTATTGATTTTATTGAAATCATTTGGCGCAGTAAAATTCATGACCACCATCGCCAGATCGATTGCGGCAGGCGCTGCTGAGCACCCTGGGCATCAGTCAGTCCAAGGCGGGCGAGCGAAATGAACGGAAGGGCTTTTGATATGTATACTGCCTACATATTTGCGAATATTATATATATATACATATATTAATGTATATGTATGTGTATATATATGTATATATATATATATGCATATATATACATATGTATATATATATATGTATGTATATATATACATATGAGTATATATGTACATATATATGTATATAAGTATATATGTAAATACATATACTGTATGTATGTATGTATGTATGTATATACGGATACAAGGTAATTCAATGCAACTTCATGTAAATGTAAATGTAAACGCCAAAGGATAGACATGTAATTGTAAATGGACTGTACATTTTAATGTAACATAATGCAAGATAGTGCAGTGCAGCGCACTGCAGAGTAGTGTAGTATAATGCAATGTGCTGAATGTAATGCTGTCAGATCAATTGAGAGAGTACATGCCAGAATATAATATAAACATACACACACATATATATATATGTCAGAATATAAATGTAGTATAATTGTCATGTATTGTCAAGATATATGTCAGAAAACGGTGGCAGAGGAGATGTCAGAATATGGCACCATTCTGTATATAGATCGGAGCGACAATGCCAGAAGTATCGCAGATATTATTGTGTCAGAATATATCTTAGATATTAATAGATACTATGTCTGAACACCCACCAGTGGATACGTCAGTCATTTGAACCCCTATATTTGTGGTCGTTCAGCATCCATATTCTCATTAGAAACTGCCGATTCTGTTGTTTGTTCCTCATATTTTGCTGCTGCTGCAATCCCACTTTGACTGGATTCCTTCTCGAAATCACCCTGTTGAAAACTTCTTAGTTCTTGTTGGTATCAAAGAAACATCTTCAGCTGTCTAGTAAGCCCCAAAAAGATAGAACAGCTTCAGTTTATCACTAAAAACTTAGATTCAGATGTTGTCCAATTCTTCAATTTTTCGGGGGTTGCCCAATCAACATCAACAAAACCTCCCATGTTTTTTTTGGATCTCCAGTTCCTGAGGCCTGGAAACTCTTCGAGATCATGGACGAAGACGACAACGGGGAGATCAACGCGGACGAGTTCGTGTGCCTCGGGGCATCATGGGGAGGGGAGAACTTGAGGCGATATGACGAAACCTGCAATTATATGATATATATATGATATATATATATATGATATATATATATATGATATATATATGATATATATATGATATATATATATATGATATATATATATATATGATATATATATATATACATATATATATATATATATGATATATATGTATATGATATATATGTATCTGATATATATATATGATATATATATATGATATATGATATATATATATAAATATGATATATATATGATATATATATATATATTTATGATATATACATATATATATATATACATGATATATATATATATATATGTATATCTATACATATATCACATTATATTATATCACATTGTATCACATTATATCACATTATATAACATGAAATAACATTATATCACATTATATCACATTATATCACATTATATCACGATATATACATGATACATCGTGTTTTTTTGATCATGGTCAGTCGAGAGTGTTGCTACAAGGGTGCCTGATAGATTGGATGGATGAGGCATCCCGTTATCTCATTATCTCTCCCTAACATTGGTATCGCACTTTGACATCATGATCCCACCATCCATATCTATCATCCAGATTGTTGTAATTCCCTTGTAGGTCATTAAGTTCTCCACACACATATATATATATATATATACATACATATTTAGATGAATCAACAAATGAATTCCCATTTGTCCAACACACAAACGTGACATTTGTCACATTTGGCGGTAAATGCAAGAGTAAGCCATCCCAATTCGCGAAGATAGTTGATCACCCAAGAAAAAACTCCCAATTCTTGTAAAATGGTAGCAGAAGGTGATTCCCCCATTAAACACTATTAAACCTTCCAAGTCTCCCAAGAATTCTCGGCTAAGGTCCACCTGCTTCAAACTCCAGGGCTCTGCGCAGCGCGTGGACACTGAGAGGCGGGGCTTTTTAAGACCTCGAAGTGTCTGGCGGATGTCTGGGGAAATCAGGTGTGGATAGGTGTGGGTTCTTGGACCATGATTTACCTCCCATCCGCTTGAGTCCCTGGAACTTGGCCGAAAAAATGGCTGGCGAAAGCGCGCCAGGATCTACGCTGGCTTGAAGCGTTTGGGTGCCGCCATCGAAGATATCGGAGGTGCCATGGCCGTGGCTGCCTGTTTCTAAATTTTATGGCTTAGTGCGACTGGTCAATGGCTTAGTAATTGGGAGCCTAAACAACTGCCCATCTGCAATTTTCAGGATCGTCTTATACGGAAGATATGCGCAGAACTGCTTGATTTCAATTGGATTTCCGGGATTTTCTCTTTCCATCTCCTAGGTGTGTGAAACCGTCTTGCACATCCCAGACATCTTTTTCGGACATAGAGCAGTTCCGAAGCGCGACTGAACACGTGTTTCCTGAGTATTATATGCATAACTAAGGCCCCTTGCCATCATAGCCCAGGAATGCCAGCAATAGCCCTATCAAACTCAGCATCATCAACCCCTAGGGACCCACAAACCCACCAAGACTGGAAAGCGCCAAGGTTACTTGCAAGATATCTTGCATCTTGGAGATGTATTGGATAATGTGGGACAACTATGGGATTATTATGGGAAAATGTTTGGATATGACATGACATCTTTGGATATATGACATCCGGCTGGTGGGAACATGTTTCATTTGGACAGCCGGACTCGTCGGACAGTGCTGATGACGATCATCCAGTGGCCGCAGCTATAAATGGCCAGTTCGCTTCGCGAACTTCTGGAGAATAGACACCTCTGGAGAAAGCCTGGTTAGTGATGTTGTTTTTCCTTTTTTTATCCCATTTGTTGGGGGGTTTGTTATCATGGGGAGATGATGTATAGAAAACAATTTGTGGAGATATTTATGGGTGTATGTGAATGTGAATCGGTATGACGCGGTGGGTATACAATACATATTGGGATATTGTTCAACACCAGGTTTGTGGGTTTTATACCCATTTTGAGTGGTTAAGCCCCGACATATACTGTACTGTATACATTCATACGTACCGTTTGTTCGTACACACACATATATATATATATATACATATAAGATCCACCCAAAGTTTCAGTGAAATATGTGCCATGTTTGGCCTGAAGTATTCAGTGGAAGAGGCCCTGAAGCCCCCTGGAAGGTGCATCCATACAATACCAGCGTCGCATCGTATGGCATCAAATTACAGTACATTGCATTACATGTACATTCATACACATTGGTTACCCTCCCGTAAACGTTTACATAGATGTAGTTTTCCGGGAAAAAGAACGGTAGA